AGTCAGCTACAGAACATGATGGAGAAGCTACTGTGGGCTCTTCTTGAAGATTAGACAAAGAGAGTCAGTACAATTTTTAACTTGGAAGTGAACTGAAATGGCACTTAGAGACTTAATGTGAGTTCTCTCTCTCTCTCTCTCAGACAAAATAAATCAAAGTGATGCATACAATGACAAAAGAAAAGTAAGAAACCCAATGCAGCCTAATGTAGTAGTCTGCAGTCACATATCATCACCCTTCCATCTTCAATAAGAGTCTATGATATTCGGACTAATTACAGAGTCGCACCGTTATTTGTGGGTCATTTGCATCACTACCTGTATTGTATTTTCATTGCCTCACACAATGAACATAACATATACTTCTATATGATGTAAAAGTAGTGAAAACAAATAACAACAACACAGTGTTGCTTTTTTTTAACAACACAGCAGATAACAGTAAATCTAATTAATATTATTGTTACTATTTATACTAATTGAATTATTTTCTTGTTAATTTTTTATATTTTGTTCATTTTACTTTGTTTTAAAAAATTACAATCTTCTCAAATCTTTTATTATTTTTTAACACAAAATAAAATGAAAAAAAAAATAGAGATCAAAACTTAATAATATAATTAATAAAAAAAAAATTCTTAGAAAACCTTATGTGACAGCCTCACCCAGACTCTGCCTCCAGTAGCCCTCAGGTGAACTGAGTTTGAGACCCCTGACCTAAACTGATCTTCATTGCAAACTGATGTGTGTGTTCTGTGATCAATGAATGAATACTCACAGAGCTCTTCTGCAGTTTCTCACAGCTGCTATCAGTCTCCATCTTCCCTCATCTGATGTGTTGAATTTCTGCAGCTCAAACTCATCCAGCGGCTCCTCTGACATCTCAATCATGTAGGAAATTGTTGAGCAGTGAGCAGGAGAGAGTTCCTCCTCTGAGTGTTTGTCTGATTTCACAAACTCCTGAATCTCTCTGGCCAGAGTCTGATCTTTCACCTCCAGCAGACAGAGGAACAGATTGATGGATCTTTCAGCTGAGAGATGGTAATCTCTTTTAATCTTTTCCTTAATGTACAGTGTGATTCTGCTGATGCTCTCTGAGCTCTCCTCTGTGTGTATCAGCAGATCCTGGAAGAGTCTCTGATTGGACTCTAGTGAGACGCCCAGCAGGAACCGCAGGAACAGATCCAGATGACCATTACTACTCCTGACAGCTTTATCTACTGCCAATCTGAGCAGTTCATACAGAGCAATCTCGGGCCTTGACGATTCATGTTCATTTTCAAATTCATTACCATCCATACACTCATCTTCCTCATCTGTATATTTTCTCTCATTAATCAACGTCAGTGGCTCATATAGAGAGTTGGCCTGTAGATATTGATTATATGAATATTCTGTGTCAAAAATCAACTTCAGCTGTTCTGTCTTCTTTGTTAAATGGCAGTAAAACACATAAAAAGCAGTAAGAAACTCCTGAAAGCTGAGATGGATGAAGCTGTAGACTTTCCTCTGATGAATCACAGATTCCTCCTTGAAGATCTCAGTGCAGATCCCAGAATACACTGAGGCATCAGTGACGTCTACGCCGCTCTCAATCAGGTCCTCCTCATAGAACATCACATTGCCCTTCATCAGCTGTCTGAAAGCCACTTCAGCAAGTTTGAGGATCACTCCTCTGTTGGTCTCCAGGAGTTTCTCTGGATCTCTCTCTTCATACTTCTGCTTCCTCATGTTGATCTGAATCAGCAGGAAGTGGATGTACATCTCAGTCAGAGTTTGAGGGATTTCTGCACTCACATCATCTTCCAGGAGCTTCTGAAGCACAGTGGAGGAGATCCAGCAGAAGACGGGTATGTGGCACATGATCTGGAGGCTTCTTGCTCTTCTGATGTGGGAGATGATTCTGCTGGCTTGATGCTCGTCGCTGATTCTCTTCCTGAAATATTCCTCCTTCTGAGGCTCAGTAAATCCCTGAATTTCTGTCAGACGGCTGATGTATCTGGAGGGGATCTGATGAGCTGCTGCTGGTCTGGAGGTGATCCAGATGAGAGCAGAGGGAAGCAGATCTCCTTTTAGGAGGCTCCACATCAACACAGACACTGATGAAGATTCAGTCACAGCACAAACTTTCTCCTCATCTGAAAAGTTGAGTGTGATTCTGCTTTCATCCAGACCATCAAAGATGAACACAACTCTACACTGCTCATAAATCTTGGGCTCCAGATCTTCAAGTTCAGGATGAAAGTCCAGCAGAAGTCTGTGAAGACTGTACTGATGATCTCTGATCAAGTTCAGCTCTCGAAATGGAAGTACAAACATGAAATCTACATCCTGATTGTCTTTTCCCTCGGCCCAGTCCAGAATGAACTTCTGCACAGAGACGGTTTTCCCGATTCCAGCGATGCCTTTAGTGAGAACAGTCTTGATCTGTGATACATCCCGGTTTGTTTTCTTCTTGTTTCTTCTTCTGCTTGTTTTCTTCTTAAGTGCTGCTCCAGCTGAGGCTTTAAAGATGTCATTGCAGTAGACTGGAGTGTGTTTTGGGGGTTTTGTTCTGGTTGTTTTCTCCATCTGTAAAACCTCATGTTCTTCATTCACTCCTTCACTCTCTCCTTCTATGATGTAAAGCTGTGTGTAGATCCTGTTCAGGAGGGTTTGAGTCTCTCGATGGTTGATTCCCTCAAATAATCTCTCATACTTGTTCTTCATGCTGGTTTTGTGCTGCTCTTTGACTCTCTGAAGTTCATCTTGTTCTGGTTGGAGTAAATCCTGCTGCAGGTCTCCAGTCTGATCATCTCTATCCACACTGCAGGAACAACAACACAAAGTATGGGGGTAAAGATCTTCTGGTAAAGCCATGTGTGTTTTTTGTGAGACAAAATACACCGATATAATTCAGAACGAAAACTATAATAATGCAGAAACTGTCCCAGAACCGGTTTCAATCTTCAATTCTTTCATAGCTCTACCGTGAAGCACTTTAAACACTTTAAACTGATAGTCAAAATCTACAGTTCTAAACATCTATTGGTCAAAATGGTGTAAAATGTGTAACAGTATTTGTAATTTGTTAAATGTAACCAATGAATCATTTGATATCCTGAGAGAAGATGATTACAATTATGCTGGATGCACAAAAAAAGACATTTAAAATCTTTTAAGATGAAAATGTGGGACCTCCAATATGGGGACAAAAATCATTCTTTTGATACTATTATATGTTATTGTATGATTTCCTGTTTTCATGTTGCACTATATCTTGCATTTTGCTATCTGGAGTTTTCAAAGTTGTTATGATCATATTGTGGTGGGGAAGGCGTGATCGAACACCCAGAAAGGGGGGAGAGCAGGCGGAGACACCGGCGGCTGGTCAGTGGTCTAATCATAAATAATTATTAACACCTGTGTTTTCTAGTGATTGGGCCGGAGAGACACCTTCATAAGGGGAGGAGAAGGAGAAGCCGGGAGAGAGGAGAGCCTGTCGACCTTCAGACTAGACACGCACACACACACACACACAGAAAATTATAAATAAAAATTGTGCTTACCTGATATCGCCGACCCTGCCTTCTTCTTCCCACGAAACGAACATTATTACACATATCCTTGTTAAATGTTTTGCCATCAATGAGAAAATAATAATTATTTGCCATCTCTGCTGTCTGAATCTTTCAGTGCTTCACCATGACTGTGTTTGTCCTGCTTCTGTCAGCTCACTTTCTGACTGAATATCGTTTTAGTTTCATATAATAATCTCCAGATCATACAAGCATTTACTCTTAGGATTAGAATTTCTGATTAAATGTTCAACATGTTGAATATTTACAATTCATGGTCAGAGCAAGCAGATTCAGTCAAACTTCAGCATTAATATACTGTAATACTGCTGCTGTGTTCATCATATTCTTTCTTCCCCATAATGCATTATATGATAATAATCAAAGATTTTGAAATAGTTCCATTTCAAATCAATAACTGTTGAGGCCATAATTATTTATGAGGTGAAATGCTGTCTCACTTCTCACTCTTTGGGTGCTTTCATATTCGCTTGGTCTTTACCCGGGTTTGTTTGATGTCAGAGTTCAGTGCGTTTAGCTAGTGTGAACGCTGTCTTCTGAACTCGGGTACCTACCAACAAACCATCCCCAAGCCTGCCTGAAACATGTGATCTGAGGAATGCCTTGCACAAACTCTGGTTCTGTTCACTTCTGAAATTAATGTAATCGTACCAAACAACGAATGTGAACTGCCAACTATACAACAAACTTTAATTTTCACAATGTTCTTCTGTGTGTGCTTGTTTGTGTACCACCTAAAGTTGCCTTGCTGGCAAGCAGGACTGACCCAGTGCAAATGCAGTAATAATGTCTGCTTGTCTCCTCCAAAAATGACTTCTGCAGACATTGCGTTATGTTCTGAATGTTTTAATATGTTTGCAGCAGATAGATACAAGTGGCTCTCTGTATGTTACCAAAACCAAAAGATTCGATAAAGCTGATCGACTGCGATGTGCATAAGTCTTTCCATTTTGGCGCGATGGCTTTGTGGGTGTCACCTAGCAACAGCTGACACACAACAGCAGCTTGATGACACAAGCATATCAGGTTTCAGAAGGAAAAATCACAATGTGAACACAAACCAGCTGAGAAAATGGCAAGGGAACACAATCAAACTTGGGTTCAGTCCAGGTATTGAACCAAGTGTGAAAGCACCCTTTGTCTCACTGAACGATTAAGTCAGTGGTCACCAAACTTGTTCCTGGAGGGCTGATGTTCTGCAGATTTTAGTTCCAACCCTAATCAGGCACAGCTGAATAAGCTAATCAAGGCCTTACTAGGTATACTTGAAACAACCAAGCAGGTGTGTTGAGGCAAGTTGGAGCTAAACCCTGGAGGGACACCGGCCCTCCAGGACCAAGATTGGTGACCCCTGGATTGAGTGATCAGGGAGAAAATGAATGAAAGGTATAGTCAAGACTACTAAACCTGGTAGTGGTAAAAATCAGGAAACTTCAGGTAAAGAACCTGAGGTGTCTAACATGGAGGCAATGCCACCATCTACTCCTTTAATGCCAGAAGGTGCTTGTGTCAGGGTTTGTAAAGTCAAGGCGAAGTTCAACAGAGGACTTTACTAATTTTCTTAATTCTTCTTTGTCCATCCACAGCACTCTGGCTTCTCTTACCACTACTATCTCTGAGATGGAAAAGGCCCTCTCTGATCACAGTGAAAAGATTACTGAGATAGAAAAATGATGTTATTTCTTTAAAGGCCAAACTAACAGTAGCTTTGGATTTTACGAAACGCTTGGCTCTGTTGTCGATGATTTGGTGTCTTGAATTGAGGACAAAAACCCAAGAGACTTTATGACAGATTTTTCTTTAAAACAGTGAAAGATGTCCTTCCAGCCCCTCCTGAAGTTGAGTGCGCTCATAAGTTTGGCATTTAATGTCAGATTTCACAGGTTTTAAAAGTTCACTTTTAAAGTTAAGTCAAATCTGAACAAGAGTCTGTGCTTCAGTCATAATGGTGAGTAAATCCTTGACACTCAGGAATGAGCAGAGCGATATTTTCAGGAACATAGTCAAGGGTAATTTACAACGGTATTACCTTTGCTATCTGGCAGTGACAGTACAGTCCTTCTAATCACTCAGTCTTCAGAAGTTCACTTATTGTGGTCTTGTCTCCATACAGTACCTCAATTCTAGACTTTGAGGACAGCAAGACACATTTGTTTACCATCATCTATCATGACTGAATGAGCAAGATTAAATAAAAGTGAATGAACTTGTGAAATATTATTCATAAAAACTGAATGATCAACTGGCATATGAGCAAAACACAACATGTTTGACGACTGCGATTCAGTGAAAGACTCATATCAGAAAAATCTAATCAGTACCAGAGAAACAGCAGGGAAAAGTCCTTTATGGCAAAAGATTTTTTAACCCTGGAGACCCACTATCCTGCAGAGCTCAGATACAAGCTCTAACCATTTAAATCCAATGAATTAAATAACAAATCACTTGCTTGATTTATTTATTATAAAAATAATCATTAGTTGGAGACCTAAAGGAGATGATTTACCTGAGAGCTGGTTGTGTGTTTTCACTCCTAAAATTAGTTAGTGGATCCATAGATCTCTCACTCTTCAGAGATACACAGCTGGCCTCTGCTTCTGCTCTCTTCTGATGAACTAAACTAAAACAGAAAAGATAACCGTTCAGCACTGCGCACACTGGAGTAAACACAATAGAGGTAAAGTTAGTTTTATATTCGCACATTCAGACTTTCCCCTTAAAAATATAATTTTATGAAAGTATTATTTGCAAACTCAGTGAAATCATATTAGCAGCCAATGACTATCAAAGTAAAACATTGTCCCCATTAAAATCAACAGTGTTAATGTTGTTTTCAAGTCACTGCATGCCAATTCCAATCGAATATTCAAATAACATGGTAAACAATATAGAGACCTCTAAATGAACGAATGTGTGAATATAAAACCCACTTTACCTCCATGTAAACACACCAGTTATACAGTCATTATTTAAAATCAATTCAAACTGCACTATAATTGTTTAGTTTATATTTGTAAAACTTTCTGGTTGTGTTACATTATCATGAAAATACATTTTGCCACAAACAAGTATCAAAAAATCACTTCTGTAAAAAAAAAATAAAATAAATCTAACAAATAATAATAATAACAATAATAATAATAATAATAATAATCATGTGAGAAGGTGATTAGGTCTAATACCTGCATCCTGGAAGCAAATTCTGATCTCCAGAAGTGTGTTTGTCTTCCATGATGGATCTGAAGAGTTTGATCTCCAGCAAAAACTCTAGAAGACACTGATAAACAATCACAGATATCCAGTCTTTGAGCAGTCTTCATAATTAAGCTGAATGCAGGAATAGTTCAGCAGCTGTGACACTAAAATCATTGAAATCCAGCCATCATCAGTTTGTTTAGGATGAAAAATATATAATACATCACATAAACCTTACTCATTTTCTCAAGACATTAAAGATTTGAAGCTATTCTGTATTGTAAATTATGGAATATGTTTAAAATGGTGAGACAAAAACTAAACACTTTCACTTTCGTTTATAAAGGCAGCAGCACATCGCGAGTTCAGTGATAAACGGTCGTCACAAACACGGTGAACCACCGATGTAAAGTTGAATCAGTTTTAAAACAGTCTAATAGAGCCAGAAAAAATCACAATATGAATAAAAACTGGTTGTGTTGCGTGTTTGAAAATGCACAAGAGAACACACCGCGTAGTTTCTGTGTCAATCTGCTTCTTTGAAAGGCAACCTATATTGTAATGAAAACAAACAGGTAGGGACCGTCAACAAAGTAGCTACTAAACGACAAGCGTAAACACACAATTGTTCCATCCACTGGGTTGACTCACAAAATGTTCTCAAACCAATGAAATTCACAATTATCAGCTTTAAAAAGTTTAAAGATACAAATGTAATAATAAGATGTGGTTATAAAATATATGTAGAGTATTTTTATGCTTACAGCTTTACATCACAACTTCACAAGGTGTGTGTTGGCCCCTAAAGGAATGTTTTAAGATGAGTTTCATTAACGCAGCTATAGCAGAAAGCATTTGATTTTAAAGTTGTGTCCATTCCTTCAAAACTACAGCGCATAGCTGTTATTAAAATTTTTTTACAATGTCTATGACAGTTTTTTCAATACATTTAATAAGTGTTCCAAAATCATAAAGCTGCAACACACCTCACAAATTTGTCAAAACGGTTAATTTCATGCTCAAAATTACACATCGAAAGCTATGCTATAATCATAAACCATAACAATACAATGCAGTTTACACTGCAGTATTTATTACAGTTAGTCAGTTTACTATACTACAGTATGCTGTGGCATTTATGTATTACGGTGGCCGGGAAGTGCAAAACAACATTACAAAGTTTGAAACACTTTTACAAAGCTCAAGACAAATTTACATTTTGAAAAACATTTTTACCTATCATCAGACACAATTACACAGGAAAAACAATTTTACAATAGACGAAACTGATTTACATTTTAGAAAACAAATTAACAAGACGCAAAACACTTTTACAAATCCCGAAACAAATTTACAATTACAGATTCCCTGCGGAAAGGGAATGTACCACAGCCCGGAAGTGACGTAGAATGTACTAGATTCACAATTATGTGATATGAGACCAAGTGAAAAAGGCATCATCATTATGTGCATAGTTCACTCAAAGATGAAAATGTACTCAATACAAACATATCAGTAAAAAATTAGCAGATTACTGTTTTGTGATGTTTTTTTCCCCCCCATTTATTATGCTTTTGAATCTTTCACCTGACAACTTTTATCCTTAAAAAGTTTAACATTTATTAACATTTTTAATAGTGTCAAGTCAATATTCTTTGTTGGTGTTGTATATTATGCAACAAACACCTTGTAATAAACAGCCAGTACATTTCCTGCTACTTTACAGACGTATTTCTCTATATATTATTTCTTAAACATATTATATTATTTTAAACTACTAAAATGTCAAGAGTCAGTTTTGCATAAAATGTAGAGTTGAATTTTCAACATCAAAAGTTGACAGAGCAGAGATCAAAATCCCATAATGCAATAACCGTTAATAAACACAAAATGCAAAATACAGAAACTGTTAATTAACATATATTTTTACAGTGTATTTACTCACATCAAGTGGTTATAAGCCGTTATAAATTCTTTCATTTTTTGATCATAAAGAAAGATATTTTAAAGAAAGACTATACCCCTAGCCATTGACATACATTGTAGGAAATGAAAAATTGTACAAAAGCACGCACATCCCTCTTATGGGTGCTCAGCCAAAAAACGCAAAAGGTGCAAATTAAATATTCATCAAAGGCGGCCACACCAAAGCTCCAAAAATACAAATTTATTAAATTAAAAAAGCTGACACAAAGAGTGAACTCAATATAGTAGGTCTGAACTAACATAAGGCAACAATTAAAATAAAAACCTGTTTTATTTCGTTTTACATTTTAACTGCAAATTCGATTAAAAAATAATTTAATAGTAGGCGACAAGGTTATCATATTTTGTTTCACCAATAGCTTGTTAAATCGTTCAGTTTTTATTTTGTTGTATGATCCATAATCTGCATCACTAACAAAACACTAGCTACAGAATCCTTCGGACAAACAAACAAACAAAAACTGCACACTTAGTATTTAACAAATTAATATAATAAAATATGTCTTAAAATTATGACTGCAAACAAAATCCAGAGCATGGGTTTGAATTTCTATCATGCTTTAGAGCAGGGATCACCAAACTTGTTCCTGGAGGGCTGGTGTCCTGCAGATTTTAGCTCCAACTCTAATCAAAACCCACATGCTAGTCAAGGTCTTAGGTATACTTGAAACACCCAGGCAGGTGTGTTGAGGTAAGTTGGAGCTAAACCCTGCAGGGCACTGGACTTCCAGGAACGAGATTGGTGACCCCTGCTTTAGAATTTCATCTTTTGCATTTGTTTAAGTCAAAGATGTATTTTTATATTGTCATATTTATCATTGTCAATGTCTGCACTGCACTGTATGTGAGAATTTATCCCACTACTAATTCCCACCCCTAACACAGACACACACACACACACACACACATTAGGGCTGCAAAATATCGGGAAAATATGCAATATTGTTGTTGAATATTGCAACAAGAATTTTTTTTGCTATAACATAGAGAAATGTAAAGGAAATCATCTGTGTTGGGATCATACAAAGATATTTTAAACACATAAAATATTCAACATATTAAAATTATCTTAAATCTAATTCAAATCTGTCCAGGAAGGTGCAAATGTTTTGACTTTAAAACACAATGAATGGTAGATATTTTGATTTCTGGTTTGGTTTTACCATAGACATCTAAACACAAAATGCATTTATCTCAAATATTATTTTTTATTTGCATTAACATTGTTCATTTTAAAGTTTTTATGAGCATCTTGAAATTACCATCTTTAAGCAACATATTTCCTTGCATGTCTTTATGAATAAATTGTAAAAAGTTTACAGTCTTTAAATAATTGGTATGGATATACAGTACTGACATCTTGTCAACAACCACTTAAATAATATAGTTAGGAATTAACATGTAAACATTATTAACATTTAGGGATGCATCAATATAATTTTAGATTATTTGACTTGTGTTGTTAATTTTTTCCTTATAATTGTTTATTCATATATTTTATTTATGAAGACAGGCAAGGAAATACTCCAGTTTTAAGATGCTAGATGGTACCATATGAATAAAAACAATCTATGAGATTAATGCATTTTGTGTTTACATGTCTATGGTAAAACCAAATCAGAATATCTAGGGTTTATCAAGGGTTTTAGTCATTCATTGTGTTTTAAAATCAAAATGTTTGCACCTTCCTTGACAGCTTTTTTTTTTGTTTTAGCTTGAATTAGATTTAAAAGGAAGAAGAAATTAGTTGAAAACATTAGTATAGTTAAATTTATATGTTTGAAATATTTTAGTGTATCATTATCCATATATGATTTTTTTGTAATCTTAACAAAAGTTGCATACTCTAGGGAAATGCTATTGCAAGAAATATAGTTATCGCATTGTTCAACAACAATATCGCATATAGCATAATCCCCAAGATTGTGCAGCCCTACTCGAGGCAGTAGACAGGATTGATACAACTTGATACAATAGATAAGCAGCCGAATTGACAAAAGTGGTCTCACGAGATAAAGGACACAGCTGAAAACATACAGAGCAAAAAAATGAGAGGATAATCACGAGTGCTTGTGATGCACACCTCTGAGTATTTAAAAAGAGTTTGCAGGTTTACATATACAAGTCAGACTTATTAGCCCCCAATTTAATTTTCTTTTTTTTTTTTATATATAATTTCCAAAATATGTTTAACAGAGCAAGAAAAATGAGTCACAGTATGTCTGATAATATTTTTCTCTTCTGGTGAAAGTATTATTTGTTTTATTTTGGCTAAAATAAAAGCAGTTTTTAATTTTTCAAGGTCAAAATTATTAGTCCTTTTAAGCTATGTCTATATTTTTTCGAATGCCTGCAGAGCAAACCATCGATATACAATGATTTGCCTTATTACCCTAATCTGCCTAGTTAACCTAATTAACCTAGTTAAGCCTTTAAATGTCACTTTAAGCTGAATACTATTGTCTTGAAGAATATCTAGTCAAATATTATTTACTGTCATCATGACAAAGATAAAATAAATCAGTTATTAGAAATTAGTTACTAACTATTATGTTCAGAAATGTGTTAGAAAAAAAAATCTTCTCTCCGTCAAACAGTAAATGGGGGGGAAATAAATAGGGGGGGCTAAAAATTCAGGGGGCTATTAATTCTGACTTCAACTGTATACACACAGTGTGCGAAATTAGTATTGAACATGTCACCATTTTTTTCAGAAATTATATTCTTAAAGCTGCTGTTGACTTGACATTTCCTCTGGATGTTGTTAATAACCAAAAAAACCCTAATATGCAAAGAAAACTAAACAAATTAGTTTACAAATGAAGTTATGTGTAATAAAATAAAATGACGTATGAAGGGAGGTAGAAAGGTTATGAAAGCCCAGACAGCAGCTAAAATCACTCCAGTAGTTTTTCTGCAACTCTCTGCCCTTTCTCAGTGTAAATGAAGATCAGCTGCTTTAGTCCAACATCTACATTAGCAGGAAGATGAAACCAAAGTGGACATTTCAGCAACACAATGATCCAAAACACAGCCAAGGAGACTTTCAAATTCTATCAGAGAAAGAATATCAAGCTGTAGAATGGCCCAGCCAATCACCTGACTCCAATCCAATAGAAAATACAAATTAAAGCTCAGATTTGATAGACGAGACCCACAGGACCATCATCATTTTTACACTCTTGTGAAGTCTGAAAAAAAATCCCATGTGAGCAATGCTTTTGACTTTATTCTCCATATGAGAGGTGTCTTTAAGCTGCCATCACCAAAAAAGCATTTTATATAAAAAGTGATAAATACATTTCAGTAGTTCAGTACTTTCTCATTGTGTCATTTCTTTGTTATTACAAATAGCTATTATATATTTATTTAGCTTATAATATATATTTTTAGTTTGTACTGTTTGGGATTTTGCCAAAATTAAGTTCAACTCCATGTAAACAGCTCCTTTATAAATATTTAATACCAAGAAAAAACATGACAATTTGTTCCAATACATATTTCCTCCATTTTGTATTATTTTTAATTAGTTGTATTTTTTACTGCCAGTATTCCTCATTTCACG